AGGAGAGCCAGAGCCATTGCTGTTGAATGTTGTCATCCATGGAGGGGAGGGGGTAGCATGGTGCTGGGGAACCATGATGGGATTTGGACCCCCTTTTCTACCTGGTCTCTTAAGTGTATGTTTTAATAAATGAAGGTACCAGAGTTTTCCCTTTCCTTTGGTGCTCTGTAAGGAATAAATAACCTAGCATATACCAGGGGCTCTGTTGGCCCCTTCCTTAGTCTGTCCTAACAACTACATAAGAGGGATTGCTCACAGTTCCTTCCATAAGCACCAGGAAGTGCTTATTTTCTGGCAGCATAGTGATGTTCAAACATATTGCCATTAACAGCACCATTATGGCTGTACCAGTACCCTGATTTTTTTCACTCCACTTAACATGAGAAAAGAGATTCAGGTATTGTTACCAGAATTTCTTTCCTGAAGTAACTTTTCTCCCCCATAACAGGTGTTTTTGGAAGCATTTCTCTATCAACTCTGCTTACATTTCAAGATATTTAAGACACATGCTTTCTAGGGATTCTGCTTGACAAGGCACTGAGTCTGGAATTCACACCTAAACTTTGTATCCTGCATCATTATGAGTTTTTGAGCTGATCAGACATCTTCTCCTTCCTGAGCCTCCCCAGTAGAACTCACAGAGATGTCACAATCTACCAAACATTAGTCGTCATTCCGTCTTAAGTTACGTGCATGATGTGCCTGAGTGTGTTTTTGCTTGGCACGTTAGGCCAGTGTGCATGTTGAGGAACCATGTATGCACCTCTGTGACCTGGCTCTGCAGTCGCCCTTACACAATTGGTCTTTTGCTCATGAGAGCCAAGGCCCGGCTTGGCACCGTGCTGCTACGGCCAGGTCAGCCTCTTCTGGCTGTATTCGCCATCTCTGATCACAGCCCTCATCCGTCCTGGGCTGCAGGACTGTGTGCCATGGACCTGCACAAGGTAGAGGGGAAACAAAGAGTTGGGGCAATTGGATCATGTTGTGTCCAGAATGGTGATATTTTTGGGTGCTCACCTTGATTGTCTGATGTTTTCTATCACCTGATGAAGGAAGGAGCAATATAACCCTTGTAACAGAGGAGGAAGGGTCTGTGAGCCACACTCCTGGGGTTTTCAGACATTGCTGCTGGCAGTGGTGTTTGTGATGGAACACGCAGAGACTGAAATGCTGAGAAACAGCCAAAGTATTTAAGACAACAAGAAGACTCATTTGGAAGAGGAACTTGTCTGTCAAAGGGTGGTCCCTCACAAACCAGACGGGCTTTTCTGAAGCTCAGAATCAACATGGCAATCATATAGCAACATAGAAAATGTAACTCCAGTGAGTTGTTATTCTGCTGTTGCACATCCCTACTGCTGGTGTCAGGCATGCTGTAGGCCCGGGGGTTACAGCCGGGTACATCAGCCTGCCAAGCTCAGGCAAGCCCACGAATGCTGTCTGCAGAAAACACCATTTTGTGGTGGCTCAGAAAACAGGGTTGAAAATCTGTTTCAGTGCAAAAATTATACAGCTTGCAATGTGTGATCAGGAGTAGAGCCTTAAAGGTGGCAAGTTAACCCTCAGAAATCAGAAAATACTTGAATTAAGATCACCCTTGTGCTGGGCATTACTGGCCACTATAAGAGCTTGATGCAGCAGTAGGGAGTAGAGTCCCCCAAGCTTGTGGCATTGATGTGTCCTGTCCAAACTACTCTTCCTCCTGTCCTCATCCCTTACCCAGAGATGACTTCTTTTTTGTGGAAACTTAAAGCACAAGTTCCCCATAGCCATCTGGCACAAACCTAGCCAAACAACAGCGGTGTCTCCTGTACTCACAGGCTCCCAACTCTTCGGGGTGTGTGCCACAGATTAGCTGGCTTCTCAATGCACTTGTGGACCATGAGAATTCCCTGAAGGATTTCTGACAAGCTGAACAAAATCCAGGGTATGCCACAGTACATGAGAAGTGCTAAATAGCCAACCTGTCCTCACATCACTAACCACCTTCTTTCCAAATATGCAGTAGCTCCCAACAGGCATTGCTACCAGAGTATCAACCAAGGATGACTTCTTTGGCAGCTCTTTCATCTTCTGCCTTGTGTTTAAGTTCTCAGTGTATGTCCAGGGACTCTGGTCTGTGCATTCTTGTTTCCCATTTTCACATGCCATAAATCTCTTGCTGGCACATGTAGACCACATAGCCAGCACCTGCCAGACATTAATAACACTGCATGACATGCCACGTGGGTGTGCTTTCCTAGGTCATGTGTTTCCATCAGCCACTGAGGTCAGCACTGAGTTCCCCTGGGAAGCTGCTCAAGTCAGGATGACAGAAGTCAGCCTTGGCTCTGTTGTCATGGGGGAGCAGAGGGGGTTAACATTGGCCCCTCACTCCAAAAAGGCCATTGAATGACTCAAGTGTGTCCAGAGAAGGGCAACGGAGCTGGTGCAGGGTCTGGAGCACAGGTCTGATGGGGAGTGGCTGAGGGAACTGGGGGGGTTTAGTCTGGAGAAGAGGAGGCTGAGGGGAGACCTCATGGCCCTCTACAGCTCCCTGACAGGAGGGCGCAGAGAGGGGGGATGAGTCTCTTGAACCAAGGAACAAGCGCCAGGACAAGAGGGAATGGCCTCAAGCTGCGCCAGGGCAGGGTCAGACTGGCTCTTAGGAAGTATTTCTTTGCAGAAGGGGTTGTTGGGCGTTGGAATGGGCTGCCCAGGGCAGGGGAGAGTCCCCATCCCTGGAGGGGTTGAAGAGTCGGGTTGACCCAGCGCTGAGGGATCTGGTGGAGTTGGGAACGGTCAGTGTGAGGTTAATGGTGGGACTGGATGATCTTCAAGGTCTTTTCCAACTGAGATGATTCTTTGAATCTATGACACAGTTGAGGAGCTGAAGGCCCTGCAGTTGTCTAAAATCAGCTGATAAGCAATATGTCTCAAGCTAAGCAATGGAAGACTAGGAACTAGCTAAAATTTGCAAGCTCCGGCAGTGTTGCCTGTTTTAATGTGAGGGGCAAGAGCGAGCTGGAAAATGTCTCCTGCTCACTGTCCTTCTAAGAAGCTGCAAAAACATCCTAAAATTCAATGCTGTTGCTAAATGGTCAGGCTTCAAGCTTCTCAGAAACATTACCTTCCAACAAAACACCTTAGACAAACTAGAGCTTGTCTCTTGCAAGGACACATGCCAGACACCTTTTTAATAGACTGCATGGCTGAAGTGATTTGAGCTGTCACCTCGACGGCCTGTATGGCCACTCAGGGTACTGGCAGGTGATGTGTCAGTCTTGCAGTCGCCAACGACACAGCCCCAGCACTCTCTGCAGCTGCTGTGTACAGCAGAGGTGCTTGAATCTCCCAGGATTTGCAACAGAAGCAACTTCTTCAGTAGCATCCTGTTACCCTGTTGAAAACTTTGTCCGCTTCGCCCGCAGCTCCTCCTCAGTTCTGCAAGGGTGTCGTTTTGCTGCCGAGCTGAGGCTGCGGGGTGATGCAGTGGGTACACAAAGCTGCTCTGCCACCCTGCATTTTGCTTACGGCTGCAGTTCTTGGGAGCTGCTGTGCCAAGCATTTTCTTTCCAACCACCCTGACAGCTGCTGGCCCATGATGATGATGGTTTTGTCTTTCCCTCTCACATCAGAAAGTGCCCAGCCATGGCAAGTGCTGTGTCGGCTGCGACCCATGTGTGGGTGGCTCTGTCTGTGCCCTGCGCTTTGGTCTCTGGAGTAAGAACCGTGCATGGGCATGTGGGGGTGGGTCTCCCTCAAAATCAGCCTGTGGGGCTCTGGGCACCTCCACAGCAGCGATCCCAAAGCCTCTTTTGACAGCAGCATTCCTGCTGTGGCCTGGGGAGGCTGAGCAGCACTCAGGGCACCCACGCTAGAGGCGGGGGAAGACCAGCCGGTGCTCCTGTGACTTGCTGGGGGTTCAGGAAGCAGCATGGCTGCCCGGGAGAGGTCAAGCAAACTTCCCACTGCGTCCTAAAACAAGTTGGACACTCCCTGGGAGTCACAGGGTGCATCTCAGTCTCCTGCAGGTGGAACAGGTTTTGTACCCTTTGTCCTGCAGAAGGGCACAAAACGCTTTGAGGTGTGAGGTACTCCAAAGGTGATGCTTTTGGGGCACCCTCAGCCCAGGGGTAGCCTGGCCAGGCCTCAAGTGCTGTTGCCGGTTGTTGCCGGCCACCACCGTGTCCCCAGGCAGAGGGGGAAGGGCCCAGGTTGGCTCCTTGTCCCCACAGCCCCGGCTTCCTCCTTCCTCATGGGGTGCCCATCACCCCTCACACCCGCACAGGCTTCAGCTCCTCTCCACCGCACCCCTGGCAACCGCGGCCCGGCCACCCCAGCTGTGATGTCATCCCCTCCTCATTCCCGCAGTGCGTCAGGCCCGGGGCAGCCATGGCACCGCGGCCCTGCCTGGTGGGTGAGTACCACCCTCCCTGCCAGGGCCGCCCCGGAGAGGTGGAGGGGGCGCGGGGGATGGACGGGGGTCCCGGTGGA